AAGGTATAAAGGCAACTCAATAAAGCAAAAATAGTCTAGAGTAGTAGTTAGATATTCATATGCAAAAAATTTTTTTATTTGGGCACCTCTTATTTCCTAATGGACAATGGGTAGCTCCCTGCCCAGGAATTTATATACATTTTAGGACAAATTCCATTTTTCTTTCCCTCTACTCATTCTAGCCTTCAATTCCCTCCTTTTTTTCTAATGCCAGATCCAAAGCTGTCAAGTTCAGAAAAATATATATGAAATAAAATCACATACACTGGAATAGGGAGAGATAAATTCATGGTTGCAGAAATGTGAATCTAGATACGGGTTTCCATTCAACACATACTCAGATTTAATATCAAGTAAAATGTTGGTACTGTGCTTGTATAGCATGTAACTTTCCTGTCTTATTTCTCCTACAAAACGTTTCTCATCACTCTTTGGATTTTCCCATAGGCTACCAGGCACATTATAAATGCTTTTAAAATTAAATTGAGTGGGGGCACCTGAGTGGCTCAGTTGGTTAAGCTTCTGACTTCAGCTCAGGTCCTGATCTTGTGGTCTGTGAGTTCAAGCCCCGAGTCGGGCTCTGTGCTGACAGCTCAGAGCCTGGAGCCTGCTTCAGATTCCCTGTCTCCCTCTCTCTCTGCCCCTCCCCTGCTCATGCTATCTGTCTGTCTGTCTCTCTCTCTCAAAAATAAACAAACATAAAAACAAATTTAAAAAAAATTTTTTTAAATGCTCCCATGTTTAAAAAACTAAATAAATTAAACAAGTTAAATTCAATTAAGTGGAATGATTAAGTTAGTCACTACTAACCAGGAACCCTACCTTATTTCAACATTTATAATACATTGGTAATACAGTAAATTGATTTTTTACCCATTCTATTTCCTCAAACTCAATCTGATCAATTATCGGGAATTAAATAATGTGAATCAGAAAACAGACAACCTGGGTCCAAGTTCTAGTGCTGACAGTTACTGTATTCTTGGGCAAATTACTTGACTTCTCTGAGCCTCAGTTTCCTCATCTGTAAAATGGGGGCGATATAAAACTACCTCACAGAATTATTTTAAGGATCAAATTATATATGAAACAACACTTTAAAAAATATAAAGTACTTTCATTACTATCAAGTAGATTTAAAAAATCTCTTTTTAGAGCCTAGTCCAATGCCCCTAGAAAATTCTTTCAGGGGTAAGAAAAATTACTGATGCTTCAAGGTTTATTGTCAAGTGTTTCTTTTCCTAAGGGAAAAAAATGCAGATAGAAAACTGGTTAAATTTTATTATAGCTATACAGGTGTATAAAATAAACCACTAATTTATAGCCTTCTCTTTGCACTACTTATAATGGAGAAACAGTTCAAATGCCCAACAAGAAAAAAAGGATGAGTACATTAATTTAACATATTATAACATTACTATTTAAATGAAAAATAGGTAAACCACCAAAACATGGACATATTTATATGAAACACTAAGCAAGAAGAGGAAGAAGTCTAAGATAGTATGCATTCACAGATGACACTATGTAAGAAGCATGAATCCTGTACTGTATTTTTGCCAATGTCCAACCAAATATACTAATAGTCAAACTTATCCAAATCAACATCAGGAAAAGGAATGTTTTTCATTATACCAAGTTCAAAAATTACTGGAGTAATCTTTTTTTTTAAGTTTAGTTATATATTTTGAGAGAGAGATAGCATGAGTTGGGAAGGGACAGAGAGAGGGAGAGAGAGGGAGAGAGAGGGAGAGAGAGGGAGAGAGAGGGAGAGAGAGGGAGAGAGAGGGAGAGAGAGGGAGAGAGAGGGAGAGAGAGAGAAAAAGAGAGAATCCCAAGCAGGCTCCACACTGTCAGCACAGAGCCAAATGCAGGGCTCAAACTTATGAACCGTGAGATCATGACCTGAGCTGAAATCAAGGGCTTGACTGTTAACCAACTCAGCCACCGGGGCACCCCATTGCTAGAGTAATTTTAATGAAGACTTTTGAATTTCTAGTTTTTATTAAGGCACAATATTTGGCCAGAAAAAAACTAATGAGAAGATAGCTTCAATTTATACAAATAAATTTCATTGAGTAGAAACATGAATGAAGTTTTAACTAGTTTCACAAATACACATGCACACTTTATTTGGCTTGTCTCTTACATATTCATATATTGTACACACACCATTATGATTTAATTATAAGATTTAAGTTCTCACTGTAAGAAGAGGACTGGTTTAATGCCAAAGGCCTATGCAATTTATTTTTGTTTACATTCAAGCATTTTCCACTTTCAGAATAGAACCAAAGAGATATTACAACAGAGATATTACAACACAGAAGGGGAAGCCAGAAGGGGGAGCAATGTAATATACGATTGCCTAGGCAATTTAGCAACTTAATAATTCTTTAACTTCTGTTAAAACTCTTTCAGCAAAAGTTTATTATTGTCATCTATATACTCAAGTCCAATCAGACTTAGAAGCTCAGTTCCATTTTCATAAATATTCAAGAAATACTGCATCAAGATACCTAGATGTACTTAAAGATTAACTTTTTTTATCCTTATGATAATTTACAGATGTGTGGGGTTGGGGGAGGGGAGTATCTATAAATGGTATAGAATATTCCATGCAGATGTTTGCACTTGCATTTTCTGACCCAGGATCCATACCTCTGTCAGATTCTCAATGGATTTCATGACCTTAAAATAAGTTGAGAACTGTTACTATGTATCTCACAGGGCACATTTTCAAACCTAAGAGCAGTAATTATATCCCAGTTGATAATTAATTGCTAAATAAATTAAGGCATTCCTTCCACAGAAAAGAAGGCTTGCAGCTTTACCACTGGGTCCCCAGAATAACTCTTGCTGCATCCCTGGAATAAAAGCAGGAGTTTGAACTTAATCACCTTATGAAAGACACTGCTTGCCAGTATACAACCCGCTCTGCAGTATTAGAAAAGGTTAACTAACATCTCTTTATCAAAAAGCCAAGATTCACCTGCAACAACCTGGACCACCTAGGTGACAGAAAAGCTTTCTTTTTTCAATAGTCTTTTGCACTGTCTAAATTGTTCTATGGTAATTAAAAGTTATATATATTTATTTTATCTGTTTTACTACCTTAGTTACCAAGACACAAAATGCCAAATGTAATTATCTGCTTACCAAAGTCCTGGCTTTTAGTACTTCAAAATAAAACTCATTTTACGATCTCAAAGGAAACAGCATAATCCATCTAAAAGGACACAAAGTAGTCCTCTTCCTAGTTAGTCTATGTTAAAAAAAGCACTTGCCATCAGCTATCTAAAATACTGGCAGGACTTAAGGCATAACGTTTCAAAACCAAAACTGATATGGCTTTTAAAGGTAAGTGATAAAACGTACACTTCCCACAAAAAGGAAAAGGTAAAATTCAAGGTTCTTAAAATTCTGAAATTATACTCACAGGCCAAAAAGCCAAAGTTAAAGAAAAAAAACACATAATGTCTATTTAACCTTTAAATGGAGGCAAAACATGTTAACGGTTGTTCACTTTCAGCTTATTGAATATTTTCTTAAGGTATGTATCCTTAAGGTATGTATCCATTTGCTCCATAGAAACTCGACCAGAAAATCCTTTCAGAAGGTTTTATAAATTAGATTCCAATGTTCCTGCTATTTCATCTGATTATTTCAGAAGACTAGCCTCATTCATAAGGCTATTCACACAACTAAACCTAAAAGTGGAAACACGTTTCTTCCCAGAAACTTTTTTTTTAATGAGCAAAAACTATGAAAGAACACTGCTGCCACGTCTTTTCCCCTCCCCCACTCACGTAGTGGCTGTTTCATCCCTTTGGAGTGCATTCCAAGGGAAAGTCCGGGAGCCACAGCTCTCGGAGAAACCAGAAACAGTTAAATTGAAATTGGCAAGCCTCTGTGGCCTTTCAGATCAATTCCTAAAAGGAGAGCTAGCTTCTTCATCATCCCTTTCTTAAAGCAAACAGCGCAAAATTCCAAGAGTCTTCACTCCCCGGAACGCATGTTTGTGTCTAAAAACTGAACTGTATTTAATACATTCGATTATTTAGGAGAAATAGTCCCCTAGAAATAGGCGAGATGGTACCATTCATCCTCCCCCTTGAAAACATGTATCTGGGGGGCCATTCGTGCAATCCAACTCAAAATTCTCACACAACCATGGAACTCGTTTTAATGATGTGGACTTTTAGAAGCAGCAAACTCTGCTGAGAGAAAGAAAGTGGGGGGGGGGGGGGCGTAGCTCTTGTGCCTTTAAAAAAAAATCGTGGAGGAAGAGGGAAGGAAGATCAGCTTTCCCGACGACCGGGTGATCTGACAGCCGCCTTCCTCAACCGAGCAGCCCGAAACTCGGCGCCCCGGGCTGCATCTAGCTGCTCCAGCAGCACCGCTGCGCGCAACAGATGAGTCGAGCCTGAACTTCTCCAGCTGGGTCCGCTTCCCAGACCCGACGACTTTTCGACAGGGTAGAAACGCCTCGAGTGCTTCAGCTCCTGCTCTAAGCTTTAAAACCCGCTCTTTACCCGGCCACATGCTAACCATCTGCGGCGGTGAAGGCCAGAAACCCACGCCCCGCCCTCGCGTTCCCCCCAGCTTTTGTAGGGAGGACCAGGTATGAGGAGAGCTCGGAAAAATCAACAGGGTGAGCCCTCCCCGGGAAGGAAGGAATATTCAAGAAAGTCCTGGTCCCCAGGGCGGAGACAGAGACTGCCGCAGCCCCAACGGTCGGGGGCGCCGACCAGGCAGGAGACGGGAAGGGGAGCACGGAGAAGGGCAGTAGGGCCTCTGGGGCAGCCAAGGGGCGCGGGGCGCGAGGCCGAGTCTCCAGAAATGAAGGTATTAAGGCCACTGTGGTAAACTGGAGAACCCTCCGCTCCCAAGCCATCCCACCAGAGAAGGGAGGGACCGGGCCGCCACAGCCGTCCGAGAAGGGCCACAGCGGTCCTAGGGCCGAAGCTACAGCCCTCAGGGTCGGGGAAGCGTCTCACCTGGGAAGTGGGGCGGGAGGGGCGGCGCGTTCTTCAGTCCCCTGTAGCCTGCTCTCGGGCCCGATACCTGCTCCTTCCCCTCAGCCCGCTGGCGGCGCGACTGGGCAGCAGAGGGAGCCAGTTAGCCCTTTTATAACCTCTAGGCTGCGACGGCAGCGCTAGGGAGGAGGCGACTGCAGCCCTCGCTACGTGAGCTCAATCACACCAGCGCCCCGGAGACTGCGCAGGCGCCCTGCCCGCACCTCCCTCCGGTCCGCGCCCGCGGCCCACACCCGTACTCCCACCAGCCCCAGAGTCCTAGGCAGGAGGGGGACAGCGGGCGGGCCTGGGGTTGTGATGCGCCTGCGCAGGCCTCTCGCCACGCCACCGTCACCTTCGTTACCTCGGATTTGCCTCGCTGCTGTTCATCAGGTTGTTTAACGCCTTAATTTCAAGATCAGCCTAGGCCTGGGCGTCGAAACCACCAGCAATGAGATAACTTAAATATGAGAAGAGGAACATGGGAGCGTAGAAAATGAAGCTAAAAAGAAGCCTCGGGTGGAAAATAATACAATGCATTCCCTGTTAGTTTGTCTGCTGTCTTGGCCCTGAGGCTTTTTGCTTTATCCCCTTTTTCACCTCTTATGTCATTTTATACGAATCTCACTCTATCTGCCACCTTTATACTTTATCAGTAGATAATGGACTGTGGGCTCCGGAGACAGATTGTTGGGGTTCAGTTCCCAGCTGAGCTGGGCATGAACCTGTCTTTATCTCAGTTTCCTTGTCTGTAAAACGGGAAAGATGGTAGGTATCCCATAGGATTGCTGTGAGAATTAAATGAGATAATGTATGTAAAGCACTTCGTGCATTCCTAGCACGCAGAAAGGACTGAGCAAATACTGAGTAAATACTAGATGGTGTCGTTATACCCTATAAGGCATCCAATCTTGTGTTTGGTCTTATTCTAACATTTGCCTTGGCCATTATATTCCTAAAAGAAGAAAGCCTTGCTATCAGGGAGCAGATAATGAAGGAGATACTTTGACCCTTGTCAGTAAAAGAGAAGAATGACTTCTCTAAGATTTGTGATTCATTAAAAATTGTTTCTAAAGTTTTCCATGTATGCCAAAAAGCTTAGCAAAAATTAACATTTGACTCTTATCTAGGAGGCAGAGTTGATTAAATAGATACAGAGAGAGCGGGTACTTTGGAAGCTCTAGGCATCCAGAAAGTACATATGATGATGTCTAACTCATAGGTTCTCAAAGTGTAGTTGGGGGTCCACAAGGTCAAAATTATTTCATACTAAGACTGGGCTTTTCCAGAGTCTACATGTTAGGTGATATTGCAACAGATTCAATGCAGAAGCAGATATGAGAATTCTATTAAGCTAGATATGGAGATTTGCAGAAATGTAAAATACGACTCTTCTCACTAAATGCTTTTTGCTTTGAAAGAATAGTTATATTTCATTAAAATTTGTTATTTATGCTAACATGTAACAGCTTTATTGTTCTTTATTTTTAAATGAATTAATAAATATTTTATATGTTTATTTTAACTCCTAATACCATTAATGTTGATAGATATCCTCAAAAAGCTTTTTGGTGGGGCGCCTGGGTGGTGCAGTCGGTTAAGCGTCCGACTT